TCCACATTAGATAAAACAAAATAAATAAAATTTCTCACTACAAACAGCCTTCTGCAGGGGGGACATGAGGTGTCAATTCAGGCATTGCTGTCACTTGTCCATGACTACGCATGGGGTTTTGAGCAAGTGATTTCGCTCTCTAAGCTCAATTTCCTCAAACATATAAGATAATGATGACACTACCTACTCACAGAGAGGAACAGCAAGTGGACCTGTATTCAGTCTGGCACATCAATAACGCTAGTCCTTGCTTCCCTCTCATCTGCATTTAATGGAAAAATAGCCTTTCCCCCTCCATCCCACCAGCTGGCTCAGAAATATGTTGCTCCTATTATTATCTAGTATATAGCCATCAAAATTTATATAAATATTTTCTCCAAACACACAGGTTCGGTATGAATGCAGATGATTTCCACTGTTAACATTAAGAAGAAAAATGCAACTGTTATTCTAACCAAAAACATATTAATTGGTGAGTTAAATATAATTTTACCAGACATACTTGTTGACACAACATCTCTAATTTTTATTTAACATGACAGTGCTTAGTGATGTGTTCCACTGCATCTTTCAGAAAAGCAGACAGGGTTCCTGTGTTTTCTTCTGTAAGATTAATACATGGCCAAAAAGATAAAACTCTTGTCATCCTGACCCAAGCTGAGGAGTCTCCAAGGATAGTCCAGAAGACATTTATTCTAAACAGTGACTAATGTTCTCCCATTACCTTCTCTGGGGTTAGGAATGGATAGCAAACAAAAATCAACACCTCTATATTTCTAGTGATTCAGCCCTAGAAAAACAGGCAATTAAAAAAAAAAAAAATTTTTAAATTTACATGGGGATTAGTAAAACACAGAGTCTATCTTTTACATTTTAAGTTTGATATTTAACATAAATCTAACAAAGAAAAAGTTCTCCAGTGTATTTTCCTGAAAAATATAAGAGTTATAAAAATAAGCAACACTATTGAAAGTTGGCAATAACTCGGTTACATTTATGTATTCTACAGGTTAAAAATGTAATATTTTTAATAAAAGTGATGACAAATACTAAATTTCTATAGTAACTCTTGATAAACCTGTAACTATTGGTAGATTCAGAAATCACCTATTACTTATGTTTTATGCAATAATTAGCATTCTCAAAGTCATAATATAGTTAAACTAACTGTTCATATTGCAACAAATGTGGAATTACATGTTGCTGTTGTCAATTACTGAAGAGAAATTTATTAAATAAAAAAGAATCGTAATGAATTATGAAAATGGGATTTTAAGCATACTGAAAACCAAAATTTTAGTTTAAGGGCATTTATGCAAGAATAAAGTCACTTTAAGTAGCTCCTAATAATGATAATAAAAAAAAAAAGCGATAATAACTGCAGCCCATAAGGAAAAAAAAGTTATTTACTTTCCACAGCTCTAAAAACAACTTGAAAAACAAGATTCATCATTACCTCAGTGTTTTTATAGCACAAACTAAAGTCTTCTTAATGGCAGTAAGATAAAAGAAGTAAAGAAATAACTTTTTTCCCCCCAAAGCTCCAACTAATCACCATTTAAAACAAAAGTTTTCAGGAGTCAGAAAACAGAATAAGTCAATTAAAATATTTTCTTCAGTTTCCTTTTTATAGTGCAAACAATCCTAAATATCCACTTCACATAATCTGTACTTCCAAAAAGGAGTATTTTGAGTTCCTGAAATGTAGAGCTTGATTTGATTTGATGCACTGTCTAATCAGTTGTCTAAAGAATGACTAAATGGTAAACAAAGCATAACCACACTCTTACTCAGTAGAAAGCTTTCAAGAATGTCACTGGCATGGAAGCCTTTCCAAATTCTTCTCAATGGGCTGCTTAATAAAGAGTGGCACATGGTATTTTTCACTAAGAAAACAATTTTTTGATACATAAAATTTATGTGCATTATTTTTCTATTTCACTATTTTTGTATTGGTTGCATCATCTGTATAAATGTATAATTATACAGATGTACTTTTTAACCACTTTTAAAAAATTAGAGGAAACAAACTAGCTATCTTTGAGAAAAGGTAATACATCTTTTGTAGCTATGAAAATAAAAGAATGCCTTCAAATATTATGTGTCTTGAAATTTTCCCCCTAATACATAACACCACCATAGAGTGACCACTTGATACATACTAAGGAAAAAAATGCTCATGATTATATAAAGATAAATACAAGAAATAATAAAATGTTTATTTAAAAATTAGGAAATTTTCATTAAAAAGAATGATAATGCATTCACTTTAAAATTCTTGAACAATCCACATGGATGAAACTCTAGAATTTGCTTTCTCTATGATGCTCAAAACTGCGACAGAACTATAAAATTTAACCAGTAACCTAAGATTTTTTAAAATATCTAAATTTTGGCATTCCATACAAAGCTCAAGAAAATTTAACTTTTTCCTGTCATAATTCATAAAGTAAAATACTTGAGGTCAATTACTGGTCCAATAGATAATTTATGTGTCTGCTTTCCCTCACCCTTAACCTTCACCTCCCAAAGTCTTTCTCCCTGTGAAATAAAAAGTTTTTCCTCTGAATAGCAGCTGAAAATAATTTGCATAGTTAAGCTAATCGGAAGAGGGGGTTGGTTGCTTGGTGAATGAAAGAACAATATATTTTTCCATGAGAAACCAGTAGGCGGTGCTAACTCTCAGATACTACATTCAAAGATTTTAAAAACTGATAGAACAGGTGATCAGTTTTAAGAGCTGTAGAATTCCCAATATGATTCATTAAGGAGAAATCTGAAAAACTGGAATGTAGTGGATAGAAGTTTAACATAACAGAATAATATAATGGAAAAGGGATATTAAATAAATGAAAACATGACTTAAGGCTCTTAGAATGCATTTTATTTACAGAATTAAAAGTGCAACTACCTATCTGTCCCCGCACTGAAATCCTATAAATGTCTTCTTCAGCCCCATATGGTTTCAACCTCATTTGGAAACATTATACAGTACAGTTAGTGCCTTGCCTTAATCTTAAAACACAAACTACCTTGACCTTATGGAAGCAACTTAATGAAAATGCAGGTTTGATCACTAAGTTCGTTCTCCACACTCCACCTCTCTTTCTACATATATATGTGCAAGAACTAAATGACTTAACATTGCATACAACCTACAAACAAGTATTATACATAGACATTATCCTATATTTTTTAATAAGTGAGAATTTCTACTTATTATGTTACAAATGGTAAGAAACAGAATATGCTACGTTTTTTTTAATGTTTTATGTTAACTGCTTAAAACATACGAAAGACTACATTTTAGCAATGAGTTCACTACAGAAAAAATGAAAATCCAAATTTAAGGCTTATTAACATAATATTTGCATCCAATCTTAGAACTATGCACTTCAAGATAACAACTCTAGTAGCCGACAGACAGGTGATATAAACTCTGTTACTTAAAATGTGCAACAGGCCTTCCTTGGAGAAAAGCTACCCTGAATATAAAAATAACTCACATACACTGCAACCTCAAAGGTCTTTGAGGTGAGTGAGTGAATTGTGAATAAAAAATAACAATTTTCTAAATCATTCAATAAATTTTAATCTCCTATAGCTAAATGATTCTTTACACTCCTTACTTTCACCAGAGTAAAAAATAACAGGCAAAAAACTGTCCATTGACAACAAACTAAGATCACAGAGTAAGTGAAATACTTGCTTGAAAAAGCTACATGTATGTTTTTAACCCTTCTATTATGAGCCCTTCTGTTGAAGTTATTTTTTATGTCTGTAGCTAACCTAGAGGAAAACTTAATCTGAGGATAAGAAGTTACTTCACTTGCTTTATATTGGTTTCAACAGACTCCAAAATATAAACACAGGGTAAATTTGAGGCTGAACTTTTCAAGAAAAAAAATTTACGAAAAAAAGAAAGTCAAAACTTCAAAATAAAATAATTTAAATATATTTAATGTTATAAAATAATTTAAATACATTTAATGCTTAAAGAATTAAAGTAAGGCTTTTCGAAATTTATTGGGATAGTAAGTTTTGCAAGCAGACTTTGTCACTGTGTTAAGTGCAGAAAAGACTTTCATTTCCAACTGACACACCTCTGAAAACGTAGTGCTAAGATTGTACCGGAAACATGTAACAGTACAGTCACAAAAAAGCATAAAATCCACAGAATGCACTCAACACTAAGCATTTCAACGCAAACAACACACGGAAATACACCAATGCCCCCTCAGTCACCCCCACTCCCAGTCCCCAATTTTCAGGGGAGGTGCTATCAGGTGGTTCAAAGAGGGAAAACATTGTCCCTTTAAAACTTAAATAAAAAGCTACTTTATACCTTAGGAGTGTAGTTTCACTAATGCAAACAAACAGTTTCATCCTCAATGTTAAACCAAAGTGACAAAGAAACAAGCAAGCACTTAGTAAGCCAAAGACAGCGCCACTCAGATGGCAAAGCCCTTCCGATAACCAAAGAGGCAGGGCAACACCTACAGCGATCTTTACTCATCGCGAAGAGGCGGAGCGGGAGTTGACCGCGCGGGGGCTGGTGCATCCTCAAGGATCTAGAAACGTCTCCAGCTCCCGGCCCCCTTGCCAGAAGCCAGCCCCACTTCCCGGGCGCTCCGAGGAGCCGCCCTGGACCGCCCGACGGTCGGCCCCGCATCCCCGGCCCTCGGCCCTCCTGCTCTGCAAGTGGCCCTCGGAGAACTTACGGGGCCCGCCGGCACCCGCATCCCCAGCCCGCTTCCCCGGCCGGCGCCGCCCGCGGCGGAGACGACCCGAGCGCAGCGGAGGGAGGCACTGAATTTTGCGCACATCCGACAACGACCCCGAGGCAGGGGACGCACTGGGGCTCTCCGCACCGCGGACCCGGACACTGCCCGAAGACGCGCGCGCGCACACACAAACACGCACATAAACATACAGATTGCTCTGCCAGGACCAGTGTTGCCACTGCAAACCCGGGAAACGCCTCCAAGGGGACCAAGTACCTGCTCTCTGCGAGCTGCTCAGCTGTTCACTTCATCCTCCGTTGACAAGGAAACCAAACCGCACTTCATTTTTTTTTTCCAGAAAAACCTTCCACTGCCATCATTTGAAAATTGATTTACGGGGAGGAGAAGGGGAGGAAGAAGGGATAATATAGATATATAGATATCAGGATATCTATCGTAAAATTATCTCGGTTTTTTAAAAAAAGTCAAATGTGCAAAAGTCATAGTTAAAGGAGGAAAAAAGTATTTTGCTTAAAAATGATCCCAGTAACCAGCTGCAAGAAAAGTTTGATGTTATCAATGGTATCAAAAACAGTAGGGGAAAAAACGAATTTCTTGTTACCGGCTTCCAAAAAGGGCACAAAAAAAATATAAAATTAATGTCTTTGCTCAGTGGTTAGCACCAGTATTGCAAGACCACAAACTTGTAAACACTGCCGTAAAATCCCACCTATACAAAAATGTTATCAGAAAAAGAGTATGCAAAAAAAAGAGTTAGAAACATGCTTTTTATTTTTACAAAGGAAAAAATTAGGCACCATACTTCACATTGCTTTTTCGATAAAACCAGTTGCATATTTTGCTGGACTTGGGAGTCGCTCCCAGCGGGCACGGCCGCCGCGGACTCCCAGACACAGCGCCTTGTCTACAGAACCATCGCATGCTAGAAAAACTTGGATTCAGGAAAAGGCTCAAAACCATGCTCCTCCAGCTTTCCCAAATATAAACAATAATCAAAGAGGTGGAAAAAAAAGAAGAAAAAACAAAAAAAAAGGACAAAAATAAAAAAAGAATAGGACAAGAATGCCACACTGAGAAGGTACTCACCGAGCGGGAGTAAAATGTTGGAATAAAAATGAGATTTAGTGTAAAATACAGTATGGCGGTGGAAGAAGGAATGGAGCGCGTTTTTTCTCTCAGGCTCTGCCTCAGGCACTGACACGTGACTCGGAGCCAGGCTGACTTGCAGGCAGCGGGGAAGGACCTAGGCTGCGAAGGGGAGCCCCACGGAGCCCAACTCCGGCTGGCGAGACGGCGGCGGCGGCGGGGAGCCCGGCGCCGGAGAGCGGCGGCACCGGCGGCGGCGGCGGCGGCAGCTCACGGCGAGGCTGCCTCCGCTGTGAGCCAGACGAGCAGGTGCCCCTCACGCTGAGGCTGAGCACACGCACACGCACACGCAAGACGGGCAGGGCGCCGGCGAGAGGGGGAGCCGAGCGGGGCTGGGCCGGAGGCGCGCGGCTGCCGCTCTCGCTGCTGCTGCTGCAGCCGCCGCCGCCGCCGCCGATAGGGAGCGTGGGTGCCGGGGGAGCTGATCAGACGCCTGAGAGGAGGTGCACAAGTTGCTGCTCACCTCAAACTTGCGGTGGCTTGGCCCTTGCTATGTAGTCATCTGTTTTTCATCTCAATATAGTTACCTGGGGAGAAATCCCACTCCCTGCCCACTCGAAGTTTCACTATTAAAGCCTGGTTTTACTCACTGGATTTTTTCCCGAGTTCCCATTTCCCCTCCCTCCCGAGCTGCCTCAGCCCCGGCTGTTCCCGCCCGCCGGACCTGCGTTTCCCCCTCGCGGTCTCCGGGAACCTGGCTCAGCGCGTGCAGGGGGCGTAGTCACGGGCAAAGCCACCGTCACTCTTTATTGCCGTCAGAGCGCACGGTATCTTTTCACCGTCTTCAGGGACAGATGTGTGCAGATTGAAAGACAAAGCAGGATCTCTCGTTTGGAAAACCCGGTTTCGGGTTTCTTTCTGCGGGTAGTAAAGAGGTAGGGGTGTGCGGGCGGTTAATTTATTCAGTCGTGGACCAGGCATTGTTTGTTTGGTCTGCGTGTGCGCGCGTGCTTCAGAGCCTGTCAGGAAGGCTCTGCGGCCGGGGCTCCAAGGCAGAGGCTCCCGCCTGACTCTTGCTCAAGTTGTCGGTTGGTTGGGGCTGGAAGTCAAAGGAGAGGTGCGAGGGAAACGAGTCCATTGTGTGAATGCTCCCCGGGAGGGAGCGAACACTGCCTGGTCGGGAGGGGGAGGCGTGCACTAGGAGTGAGGAGGTGGCACAGCCCTCAGGAGCCCAGGTGGCAGAGCGGAGGATTCTGAAGGTGAGGGTGAGAGAGAGACGTCTCCACCCAGGATGTGGTTTAGGATTCCCATCGCTTGAACAAAGATGCCATCAGCCAATCGCTGAATGCGATGAGGTTCTTCTATAGCTGCCCGTTCAAGAATCAGCTTTCTGGGAGCTAAAACACATCTCCCCCCCACCCCTTCTTTTTTGTGCAATACTGACACCAGGACCATTTCGCTGTGCTGCTTTGGCAGGGGTGTGTGGAACTGGCAGCTCTGTGTTTGAGAATGAGCAAGTAACACAGTTCTGCAGTTCACAGATTGTTGCTCCTGATCTTTATCCCAACGTTTCCAATATAGACGTTTAAGATAAAATGTCGTCATCAGAGAGAATCTAACCGGACAATTCTGAAAATTAAGTACACAGCCATTACAGAGAGCTTGAACAGCAAATATGTTTCTTAAACATTCTGGGCAATCATTGGCCAAAGCATTAATCCACAATTTAAGTAAAAAGGATTTAACTATTAAATATAATATATTAAATACAACTATTAAAATATCATTAAATATTTATTTGGGAGAGTTGCCAACTCTATACCCAATTATTATACCTACTTTAGAGTGAGGATTGCTGATTAGAGATACTGACTGAGAAAGATAAATGCATCTAAATGGGTATAGTAACTTTGGAAACCGTGCTGAGTTCTTTTAGAAAATCTTAATATTTTAATCTAGATAATACAAATAAAATGCTGTGGTTTTCATTGAAAAACGGAATTGTACTTCATTGTTTTAAAAAGGAGATCTCTTCAAATTCGATCTTATTCTTCCATGACTCATGAATTAATCTGATCTCTTGTTTAAATTTTGGTTTGTTCGATTTTCCAAAATTTTCCTGCCATTGTCAGAAACCATCTGATTCTAATTTAAGAAGAAAACAGTATTATAACACATGTTTCTCCCATCATTTATATCACAGCTGTTCAATGGTGAGAAACTTCTCTTTTAAAATAAGTTTGGAATCTTTCATCCAGGCTGCACAATGCCTGGGCTTTAAAGAGTTGTTAAAGAAGAACTTTGGAAAACAAGCTGTTTAGAATTACACTGCAGTAATGGCCCTCAGCCAGTCAGAGTGATTGTCAGGCTTTTATTATTCAATAAAGTGACTCCCCTTTATGTTAAGTGCAACTCTGCTGAAGAAAAGCAAAAGACATCAATATCCTCCTGCACTTTTCCATTTACTACATAATTATAGTACAGTACTCAAAATAATCCACAACCACTTATTTCCAATGCACCATTCTCAACCTTTTACATGGCATAGCCACATGAAAAACAAGAGTAAACAAACTTAGGTTAAGGAAATTCGTATGTGCTGAGCATAGCCTCTGGTTTAATCCTCGTAACAGCTCTATGACATTAATATTACCACACTCATTTTACAGATTGTTGCTGTCGTTAGGTGCCACCAAGTCGGTTCTGACTCAGCGACCCCATAGGACAGGGTAGAACTGCCCCACAGGGTTTCCAAGGAGCTGCTGGTGCCAACATTTTGGTTAGTAGCCGAGCTCTTAACCACCAAGCCACCAGGGCTCCGTTTTACAGATTAGGAAACTAAACTTTCAAAATGCAGAGGTGAATGCTTTTTTTCTTGGACCAAAGTCTGCAAAAAGAATGTGGTCAAGTTTTCCAGGTCATAGCCTCAAGAGTTAACTATATGAAAAAAAAAAAAAAAAAATCACTTGTAAATTGAGCCTTTTGATAACAATTCTGAAGTAAACCACCTTATTGTTGTTGTTAGTTGCCATTGAGTAGATTCTGACTCTTGGCAACCCCACATGTGTCACAGTACGACTGTGCTCCATAGTGTTTTCAAGACTGTAGCCTTTGGGAAGCAGATAACCAGGCCTGTCTTCTGAAGCACCTCTGGGTAAGTTCACACCTCCAGCCTTTTGGCTAGTAGTCTAGCACTTAACATCCCAAAACCCGTACCTGTAGAGTTGATTCCGACTCATAGTGACCCTGTAGGACAGAGTAGAACTGCCCAACAGGGTTTCCAAAGAGTGGCTGGTTGATTTGAACTGCTGACCTTTTAATTAGCAGCTGACTTCTTAACCACCATGCCACCAAGGCTGTATAGGCTATGTGTGTGTATATATATATACACACACACATAGAATCATGGTTAAAATGCAGTTTTGTTTTTTAATTGTTCTTTATTGTACTTTAGGTAAAGATTTACTGAACAAATCGTTTCTCATTAAACAGTCAGTACACATATTGTTTTATGACATTGGTTAACAATAGTCTTTTTTTGTGAGTTAGAATTTTGTTCTACAACCTTCTCCAGCTCTGTCCAGAACCCTCTGTTGTGATCCCGGTCAGAGCATTCAGTGGTAGGAGCCGGGCACCATCTAGCTCTGCTGGACTCAGTCTCGTGGAGGCCTTGGTTGCTGTGGTCCATTAGTCCTCCAGACTCATCTTTTCCTTGTATCGTGTTCTCTTCACTCTCTCTTGCTCCCGAAGGGATGAGACCAGTGGATTATCTTAGATGGCTGCTCACAGGCTTTTAAGACCCCAGACACTACTCACCGAGGCAGAATGTAGAACATTGTCTTATAAACAGTGTTATGCCAATTGAGCTAGATGTTCCCCGAGACCGTGGTCCCCACAGCCCTCCACCCAGCAATTCAGTCCCTCGGAGTTTCAGTGTGTCTATGGAGTTTCCATGACCTTTCCTTGTACAAGTTGTTCTGGCTTCCCCAGTATTGTGTACTGTCTTACCCTTCACCAAAGTTACCACTTATCTATTGTCTATTTTAGTTCCCCCCCCCCACCCCTCTCATCCCTCGTAACCAACAAAGATTGTTTCTTTTAGTGTGTAAACTTTTACATGAGTTTTTCCAGTAGAGGTCTCATACAATATTTGTCCTTTCGTGATTCACTTATTTCACTCAGCATAATGTCCTTCAGTTTCATCCATGTTATGAGATGCTTAACAGACTCGTCATTTTTCTTTATCCTTGCATAATACTCCTTTGGGTGTATGTACCATAGTTTGTTTATCCATTCATCTGTTGATGGGCATGTAGGTTGTTTCCCTCTTTTGGCTATTGTGAACAGTGCTGTAATGAATATGGGTGTGCATATGTCTATTCGTGTGACGACTCTTATTTCTCTAGGATATATTCCTAGGAGTGGGATTGCTGGACCATATGGTATTTCTATTTCTAGCTTTTTAAGGAAGCGCCATATTATTTTCCAAAATGGTTGTATCATTATACATTCCCACTAGCAGTGCATAAGAGTTCCAATCTCCCCGCAGCCCCTCCAACACTTGTTATTTCCACTGTTTTTGATTCGTGCCGGTAATGCCAGGGTGAGATGGTATCTCATTGTGGTTTTAATTTGCATTTCTGTAATGTCTAGTGATCACGAGCGTTTTCTCATGTGTCTACTGGCCTCTAGAATGTGTTCTTTTTTTTTTTTTAATTGTACTTCAGGTGAAGGCTTACAGAAAATATAGTTTCTCATGAAACAGTAGTACACGTATTATTTTATGACTTTGGTTAACAACCCCACAACATGTCAACCCTCTCCCTTCTCAACCTTTTTTTTTTTTTTTTTT